TAAACTTTAATCTTTCACAATGATTGATACAACCCGTCCTACAGGTCTGGGCCCTTTGCTTACCTGTCCTGTCTATACGGCTACCAAGCATGGAGTGATCGGATTTACTCGAGCCGTTGCGGTAAGAAAGAACTCCCCATGATATTGTTCAAGAACATCAAGACGATATTTGTTTGCCTTGTGATATGCTAGCTAGCAGTCTCTATGAACATGCATGCGTGATGCAAGTTTTGCCTTAGTTTTTTGTATTAAGTAATCACATTATGAAAACATCTGAAAGTGCAGGGTGTTTTTTGGTGTGGCCTGTCATTGTGTGAAAATGGTGGAATTGATCAAAAATCTGATCGGTGTGGTGAATAATCACTGTTTCTTATGATCTAAGTTAGAGAAGGTAGCTAGCCTTGTGCGTTGTGGTTGTTTCTGTCGCAGCATAGTTGATAGTTAAACAGCCTTCAACTACACATGGACACAACTTGTATGCATCATCAGGCAGAATTAATTGAGAAGAGGTGAGACGTATACTTGTACACGCACACACAAAACCCCCAAAACAAAAAGTCCTACAAAAGTTCAGAAAAACTAGAACCAAAACCTAAGAAACACATAAAGCAGGCAAAACACAGTGCAACTTAGCAAAAATGTAATAAAAGGACATAACTGTTTAGAACTGAGCATAACTGATGAGTTGAAACAGCTGGATAACAAGAAACAGCTGGAACTAGTCAAGTCCAACTAACTCGGGGATGCAAACTACAAACGGTGCTGAAAATCAGATATAAACAAAAAAACAAACTAAGAATGAAACAGCATCAAATAATAAACAAGAATTTAAAATTTAGCAAAAACTCAAGGTCCAGCACCCAGGACCATGACAGCATGTGTGAATGCTCCTTTAGTCATTAAGAAGCTGCTGGTCTGATGATAAAGTTACAAGCTAATCTTTACTGGTAGTACTTGCAAAGCTACATTTTTGCAGGGCAAGTACCAACTTGCCCTCTCAGAAAATGTGCATTATTATCATATTAGGATATTGTGTAATGTGTCTTAGTAAACAACAATGCAAAGTAGTTATCCATGATTACTGTTTTTTCTTTTGGATAACAAGGATATCGAATAAAACACACACAACTGATATTAGAAGCTGCACTCTTAATTTGTTGTTATTTGTTCTGCTTTCAGTGGCAATAAAGCTATCCTCTTCTATTGAATTAAATGGCAGTGCCTTGGTTCAGTAGGTTTAATAAAATACATTAGATTAAATTAGATTTATGATATGTGCAATGAAATCATTTATAAGACTGGGTGATTTAGTGATATGTAAAACCAGTTGTACACTGGTGTGCTGGTGTGCTGCCAGATGGTACTTCATTGGAATAAGCATAAGCTAAATGAAGACATCCATCACCATATAAGTGACTAACCACACAAAAAAAGTGTCATTGCAAATTAGTCGTACCAGGAATTGTCAAGGCAGTGTCATTATTTTATTTTGAAATCCTTCCTCAAGATACTACCCCCCCCCCACAGAAAGCTATGTTGTTGAGTCATTCATCTGATAGAACACAGTTATGCATTTATTATTAAAGCGACCACAAATGTCAGTTTTTGAAAGATGCTATGGTCGTGTAGTATCTGATCTGTAGCTGTATGGACAATAAGAGCTTTTCTTCTATACACCAACAAAGTGGATTTTAACATTTCTTGCAAACTCTCAATGTGACGTCCAATTATATGTTGACACAAGTGAAGGAGGCCAACATTACAGTGATGGGAATTCTGGCTCTTTTTAGAGAACTGGCTCTTTCGGCTCCCAACCGGCTCTTCGGGTTGTTTAGTTGATAATTCTATATTATCAACAACAATATAAAATTATACACACAATTATGTGTAAATTATGTTGTCTCTTGTTGTTGCCCCTGGCTCTCTTTCTCTCCCTCCTGCTCAACATTGTCATATTAGAAAGTTATAGTAGTGAAAATGAGTGACACCAAGAAAAGAAGCAAAATCTGGAACCATTTAAATTTTACTGACAATACATAGGCAGAGTGTAGAGTGTGCATGAAAAGGATATCATGCACAGGCACCTGAGAACTGTCCACCCATCAGTGCAATGGGAAGACAAAACGCAGTCAGTTGAGTGTGATATTAATGAAGATGCCAATGTATCTACTGCAACAGGTGTCAAACTCCAGGCCTCAGGGGACAGTTTCCTGCAGGTTTTAGATGTGTCCTTGATCCAACACAGCTGCTTTAAATGGCTAAATCACCCCCTCAACATGTCTTGGGGTTTGCCAGAAGCCAGTTAAATCATTTCGAGGTCAAAATACTCATCATTTTTGAGGATTTTAAGTGCGCCTTATAGTGCGGAAAATACGGTAGTCACTAACTGCAGTGGATTCTCACTCAAGTACTAAAAACAAGCCTCAGACTTAAAATAATGTTACTCTATCCTACTACTTTCGAGCCTCTGAAAGTGGGAGGCTGTGTTTAAACTCTACTGTGTTGGTGTATTAGAGACAAAAACAATGGGTTGTCCAAAAATCTGCTGCTCATGTTCATTCAGTGCAGAGTTATGAATCAACATGTACATGTGCTCTGTGTAACTCCAACCTACTGCTGTTTTTTTCAATTTAAAATGCCCAAATAGTCATCTATTGGTCTCCGAACACTTGAGAAATATATATAACCTGCATTTTAATGCCTCCGATTAGAAACAAACAGTAACTTAATGTTTATGTCCGTTCTATGCTTTACTTAAACCAAGAAGGCTAATTATGTGAATTTTTATTTTTATTTTTATTTTTTTACTAGGCTGCCTCTGCAGCATCAAACTATGGAATACGGGTCAACGCTCTTTGTCCAAGTTTTGTTGGAACCGAACTTTTTACAACAATCGAACACAAACTGGGACAATTTGCTCACCTGAAGGGTGCAGCCAACCAGCTTGTGGAAAAGCTTGGGGTGTTAAAGTGAGTAATTTTCTTCTGTTTCTTGTTAAAGCAGTCATAAACCTTACAACATCGACATTTTGTTTCTCTGCTCCATCTGTATAACTTGATATAATAATGTGTACATGCATATTCACTGATGTCACTGTACCTTTTTGATTCAGTACACCTGAGGTAGCAGAGTGCATCCTTGAGCTGGTGACAGATGAGACCAAAAATGGAGAGGCCTTCATGGTGCGCACAGAAATGAAAGGTTACGTCCCTTTTCCATCACTAAGTAGCACCGATAAACCTTGAAACCATCATGTCGACATCAGATATCATTCCTTAAGTATGTAGCAGATATGTGAATAAAAAAACCAAAAAAAACAACCTTCAAGCATAATTTCTTGTGTCTTTATTTAAACTGCTGTAACCAACTGGAAATCTGACGAAAGTAGAAAAAGGTTATCTAGGAGACCAAAACTGCTAGATTACAATCCCATTTATGAATCTGGTTCATTCTCAGAAAGTGCAGCAGTGCTTGTGTAACATCTATTTGCCACGGCAAAAGGGAGGGTGCACTCATATCTGACACTCCTGCCCTGCCCACCTGAGCCTGAACTACAGTGTATGGAAGAGAAAGAGCCAAGAACAAAGGGAGTCACGGCAATTAGGGATAAAACTGAATCGTCTTAGGTTTACCCAAAAACTTAATTCTGTTCATCTGGACGTAGCGTTTTCAGTGGGAGAAATGTTTCATCACTCATCCCATTGACACTTTAGGTTCCCATCCGTATAAACAGGACATTTGCATATTGACTGAAACCAGAGATGGGCCTTACTGTAATCTGATTACTTTTTCAAGTAACGAGTAAAGTAAGGGATTACTATTGCAAAAATGGTAGATTACCGTTACTTTCCCGTAGGAACGCTGCGTTACTGCGTTACTAAAACCGTGATTTTTTTTATTTTTTATTTTTTATTTTTTTTGCGAGAATGTCTCACGACAGTGACGTAAGCAAGTGCGCCGTTAGTGACAACAGCTGTGTGCAGATCAACAATGGATCACATATGATTGTGGGAGGGAGTATGAGCATGCAGCGTTTAAAGCGTGGAAGTACTGACCTTACTTTGAGTTTGATTCCATAAAAAGTGACAAAAACATTAGCGTCCGTTGTACGTGGGAAGAAAACTTCTTTTTACAGCGAAAAAACCCCCTAAACAAGCACCGAGTGCGCAACGACGTAATGGGAACCTCACAGAGAAACTCACGGATTCTTCAACTGACCGCAGCGACATACCTGCACCAGGGTAAACCTCCGCCTACCCCAGTCCTGCTTTACAGGTGAAAATAGAGCAAAAGGACCGCTGAGTCTTTGACTTTATTTATTTTCTGCTGTGTTTTACTTGCATCTATTTGAAAGAGTGAGTGTAAACACAAAAAATATTTTATTTTATGTGCTGGAATGTGCAGAAAATAGGTTTAAATGTTAAACTAATTTATTCAAGTCAGAGAATGTTGCATATAATTAAATTTTTGCTTGATGCATAAAGTTAACAGATTAAAACTGAAAAAACAAGTTTAAAAAAAAGATACTTTTCCATTTGATTACATTTTGTATAATGGATTATGCAGAAAAAGTAGAATTGGGCTGAAAGATCTATCGCTTTATCACCTCTCCAGGTTGTAAATCGTGTTTTTAAAAAGTAACTAAGTAATTACTTTTGAAAATAAGTAATCAGTAAAGTAACGGGATTACTTTTTTTGGGAAGTAATCAGTAATTAGTTACTGATTACTTTTTTTCAAGCAACTTGACCAACACTGACTGAAACTAGCATTACTGACTAACATGGTGAAAGATCTACCCTTAGGCCCATTTTTGGGTCAGAAATAGTCTTTCCCTTTTCACGTAAATGACGTCTTTAACCAGTCCTTGATCCTTACAATTTCAAAACAGACTTGGAACAATCTGGAATGGGCTCTTTGGGGCAGATGGCCATATGCTGTGATCACTGTACTTAGCATCTAGCTAGCATTACTGAAGAGGAATGAGGATAAAAGGAGTACATTTCATTTAAGAGATAATTTAATGGCAGATAATTTCACATGAAATGTTCTCAGCTCACCAACTATCAGTAAACACACAAAAGCTTTTGTGGAGTTTGTCGTGCTGCGTGTCTGTTAGCTAAAGGTACAGCTGCTATATTTCACAAGCAAGTGTGAGATAACTTCACTCTGAGATGGAGAAAGATGTAAGAAAGACAGGACAGAAGAAGAGTGGTTAGAATCAAAAGTAAGGACTTTTAAAGTCAAGATAGTTCTCAGCTTCCAACATGTTTAACTACTTTATGTGAAAGTTGTCTGTGTAATTTGGACAATTTAGTGTTTACTGGGACAGAGAACTGCAAACCAGGTAAGACACATTTCTGATCAGTCAGCCATAGTTTAACAGAAGTAACCAATTTGGTTAGGTGGGACAGAACTGTTATGTAAATTTCTTAACATATCACAGGTGACGTTTAGCCCCACGATAAGCAGCACAGAGGATTTTACATTTCATTTTCTAATTTTAAACATTTTTCAATCAATCAAAGCTTTATTCGTCACATGCAGGTTGCCCTGCAGTGAAATGGGACCTTACACATATAGCACAAACATTACATGGGGATACAGGTCGGAGATTGGTAGAATCAGAGAAAAACATTGAAATGTACATTACAGTGGGGAAGTACAAGAGGAAAAAAGAGACCCCTACTCATGCTGTGCTTCCATGGTAGGACAGCATGAGAACAGGAAACAAAAAAACTCCTTTGCACAAAAAAGCACATAAATGTCCACAGCACAACATTGTAAAAACATGACAAGCCACAGGGGTGGGTGGGTGATTGGGGGGTGAGGAGTAATCCGAAGAAACACAGCAGCCACCCTGCACAGCGCTATCATTCCAGCGCAGCACACAGACCCGCCGCGTTCCCTCGCCGGAAACAAGCATCGAAGGCGTTGGAAAGGGAGGGGGGATGAGTGAGTGCCTATCAGTGTAAGTGTATGTGTGTGCGTGTCCATAGTTCAGCGGAGACAGTGTCCTTCGCTCTATCAGGCTAAGTAAACAGTCTGCCAGCCAACCCAGGTGGCCTTCATGGGACGGGAAGAATAGTCATCACACAGTCGTTATCAGGGAGTTGTTTTGGTGGGCTCCAGCCTTGGGCCTAGCAGCTGGAGCCGTGGTGTCCAAATGTTGAATATTGTTGATTTCTCCTTTGTGAGCAGCTCGAATTTAGCCCTCTGACACTGGTCCCTCGATCTCCCGTTGGAGAGCCGCGAGCCTCCCCATGATGGTATCAAACTTCAGTTCCATGGTGTTGTCAGTCTTTTGATTCTGAGACCTCACAACTGCAGTGATCCGTTCCGCGATGTTTTCCAACTGTCGCTCAAGGGTCTCATTTTGAGCAGGCCTTTCTCTGATGTTTCCCCTCATACGCTCAATGGTGTCGTTTTGAGCCTTCACAGCAGCTGTAAGCGTCTCCAAGGTGTTAACCATATTACGTTCGTTGTGAGAGGTCGCGTCTCGTCCCGTCGCTTCGAATCCAGCGGGCAGCCTTGTGGGGGTTTGAACAGCCGGTTCCGCTCTCTTTTCAGTAACAATCATATTTCTAATTAATATAGTGGATTTTTTTTTGTTTCCTTAAACGTGTAGGGCACACTATAGCAAGCAGAGCAAACCATGTTTTTGTTGTTATGTTAGACACTTTTCTTTCGTCAGTGCAAGTTAGTATGGAAGTGCTTATTAACATTTTTCTTAAATTTATAAGAAATATTTTCTGCATCATGAAAGATCCAAAAAGTCTTAAGCACAGTCGTTTTTCCTCTTAGTCAGAAACTGGGCTTTCACTCATTTATTGTTTGCTTCTTTCTCCTAATCACTTGAGGATTTACTGATTTATCTTTCACAAACACAACAAAACAAACAATACTGTGAACTGCAGCATTTTCCTCTAATAGTTTTAGGTTCAGACATTACTCGGGTTGTTCACTGCCTTTACCAGGAGCCACTAGATAAGTGTGGGAAAGGTCATATATTTCTTCATGCTTTGTTTCTTCATGAGGATCTCTCCATTCTTCGCCTCGCCTGTGACTAGTTCAAAGACACATTCAGCAACCTCCGATGGACTGAAATGAAAAGTGTGTATATACGCAGTGATTTAACAGAAAAAGGATGTAAACAAGTTCCCAAATTTTAACTGATCGATCCTCTTTTGTCGTGTCTCAGTTTCTCGACTCCTTTAGTGTTTCCTGTTTCATACTTGAACAGAAGACGCAAGAAGAAGAATAGTTTGAGCCAAATTAATCATCATTGCGCCTTTGAATTGAATGAAAAACATAAGAGTTATAACCTCCTTCTTTGCCATGACACCCACTGGCTGTTGTTACGCACTGCAGTAAAAAGTATGTGCTCCTTTCCTGATTTCTTCTTTACATGTTTCAGATCATCAAATTTAAATATTAGACAAAGATAACTCAAGTATATTCAAAATACAATTTTTAAATGAATCATTTATCAAGGCGAAAAAAGCTATCCCAACCTAAAGTAATTGCCCTCTAAACACAATGACAATAAGCATCTTTATCTGATTTAAGACTGGACTTTGACTCTGCCCCTCCAAAACCTTAATTTTTATTTTTTTGAACCAAACAGAGGTGAACTTTCAGTTGTGGTTTGAATCATATGCATAATCAAGAGTTCTTTAGCTTAAAGGCATGAACTGATGACATTTAAAGATTTTTTAAGAGCAGACTTCATGGATCCATCAGCTACAGCAAGTCATCCAATTTCATGCACGTCTGGATAGCTTTTTTCCCCTTAATAAAAAAGAAATCTTTTAAAAACAGACATTTTACATTTACTTGTGTTGTCAGTTTCTAACATTTAAATTAGTTCAATGATCTGAAACAACAAGTGTGACAAAGATGCAAAAAAGAAATCAGGAAAAGTACTTTTTCCAAGGGACAATATGTCAGATGTTAAAAAGCCTCCTTCTCTCAGATGGGATTTAAGTAATTGATACATGGATGAAGAGTGCTGAGGACAGATGTTGGAAGACATTCAGAGGGGGAAAGCAGTAGCCATACAGTCCATACGGAATTGAAACTTTAGGGAAAAAATGCTGCATGAAAAAAAAAAATTAACACAATAAAAAGTCACTTACTTCATTGCCCTTTCGACTGCAGGATTTTGAGTAGAATAAAGCAGGTGGGAGAATTGTCCCAAATTGTCCATGACGGAGGCAAAGAGGTCAGTTTTGACACTGCTTGGGCAAACTGCATTGAAGCATAAACCGTAGCCTGAGGCGGACGAGGCAGCCTAGTAAAAGAAACGCATACGACTGAGGCGCATCTTAAAATACAAAACCAAAATAAAGTCAAGTTTCTATGAATTACTTTGTTTAATCATTATAACTTATCATATCCTTACAGCCATGGCTCGAGTAAAGCCGATCACGGCATGCTTGGTGGCTGTATAGACGGGACAACTTGGTACTGGAGTGAGGCCTGCAGGATACAGGAGGGAACAGCCCACAAACAGCAGGTGACCTTTCTGTTGTTTGGAGGATTGTGTCCCATATTTAGAAGATAATAGTTTTAAAACTCAGAGAGGAAATAAAATGTCCCCTGTCATTTCCATCTGCTTAATGAAGACCTGCCATGTGGTGTTACCTGCCACAGATGCTACGTTAATGATGGTCCCTCCTTTTCCTCCATTCAACTTGTTCATATACTCTAAAGCCACATAGCTGACCCTGATTAGACCCACCTAGACAGCAAGACAGATATGCACAAGTCTCTGTGGTCCACTATGAACATTTCTTTTTATATGATGTAAAAGTGAAACTCAATCCTTACCACATTGACGGAGACCGTTTTCTCCCACTGCTTCTCATTCAAGATGCCGGCATTGTTGCATACAATGTCTATCCCTCCGAATGTGTCTACTGTGCTCTGAAAGGCAACTGGAAAGTAGAAATGAACAGTTTTCTGTTTTTATATCTCCATTAATGGGCTACTTATCACAGGCCTTCAAGCTGAAAGTAATGAAACACCTACTTAAAAAACCCATCAATTGACCTAGCTGTCAAGCTGTTTGTAGGAAATGATAACCCCCCCCAAGAACTGCAGCTCTTGTGCGGTGTTCACAGTTTGCAGTGTCTATTAAAAGGGGTCCAAAAAAGGAACAGTGATGACCCAATGACGAAGTCATGGACAGCCAAGGCTCAAAGATGTACATGGGGAGGGAAGGCTGTGCCTGTGTAACGTGCTGCTGTAATCTAATGCTGGTCCTGATAGAAAGGTGTCAGAACACACAGTGCATCGCAGTTTGTTGTGTGCGGGGTTACATATTCGCAGACCAGTCAGGGGGCTGGTATGTGGCCTGCTATGATGAATCATGTTTTCTTTGACGTCACATGAAAGGTGTGTTTGCCATTATTTATTTATTTTTTTAAATCTTCCTGTGTAAAAGTCAAAATACAGAAGGATTATAATGAAAAGCTAAGTAACTACTACAAAAAACTAAGTATGTCCTTTCTGCTTCCATAGGAATTAAGAGGTTAAGTATGCGAAGCTCATCCGGTGTCTGCTACTTGTGAATTACTGTCTCACTGCAAAATGATTCACAAGTAGGAAACATTCAGATGAAGACATTTGACTTTGTGGACATCACCCCAAAGTCAGACTGTAGATCTCAGATCAGCCTCAGTTAGCACGAAAGACTGAACAAGTATTCCTTTTTGGAAGGGTTGATAGAGTTGTTGGAATGGTTTCTCTCCAAAAAGAACAAGTCAACACAAAGTTGACACGTTGCAGTCATTAAGTCAACCATTAACTCCTCTGTATACCAAACTGTTCTAGAGTCAAATGTGAGGCCGGCAGGTAAAGCTGGCCTGAAACTGGATAAACAGGTTAATGAGTGAAGCACAGCAGCAGATCTACACCAGAAGAAAATAATCAAGGGGTTGCAATGGCCCAGTCAAAGTTCAGACCTCAGCCTCATTGGAATGCTGTGGAGGGACCTTATAAGAGTTGTCTATATAGAAATATCCACAAACAAGGAAATGAAGTGAATATTTACACAACAACACCATGGGAAAGTGAAAGCCATACAGAAAAGTTCCACATTTCTTCCATATGAGTTTAACTTATTACTTTTGATCAACTTCAACTTTTTTTTTTTGCATATTAAGTAGCTACTACCTAAAAATGCCATTTTATTTTACTTATTTCAGTCACATGGAGGTAATATATTCAAAAGTACATATTGCTCTTTTGATATTTCTCAAATATTGATAGTGCAGTGTGTTATTGGTGGACGCCAAGAAAACAACGTTGAACTAAAGAAATGTATTTAAGGCGTTAAAATTAGCAGTACTCAGCGCAATTGTAGCTTTTAGTTCCTTTCATTTTTTTTTAAAGTTTTGCCTGAAATGTTTCGGAGTTTTCACTCTCTAGATTTGTAACTTTTTTTTTTTTTGTTTAATTAAAAATGATTACAAAAGTGAACAAGAGTTTTGCTAAACCGAAAAAGTGACCCTGTTATACTCATTCCTTTTAAGTTATGTCAACTTATTCCCATGGGAGACATGACTGAAAACTTTAAGTACCAGTTACTGAATATTTTTTGAATGTAATGACTAAACATCTTAGTTTTATTGTAGTCAAAATATATTGAAGTTCCAAAAAGCTTCAACTTTTAATAAAAACATTAAGACAACCCGTTTCCCAAATTTCTTTAAGTTGTGCTAACATCTTTGGGTTTACAGTGTGCCGAAGTTGGTAATGGAAAAAATAGAATACTTTGTGTGCCGTTGGACACCTGACATTACATTTAAATAATTTTGGGCTGTAATTTCTTTGTATCATGACTGTAATGTGTTTCTCTAATAGTTATGTTGTTAAACACAGTGATCTTTCCAAAAAATAAATCACCACTGTTTTCTTTGTGTATACTTTACCTTTGATCTGCTCCTCAGACTGAACATTGCACTTGAAGAACAGAGATCTCTTTTCTCCATACTGTTTGTTGAGGGCTTCCTCTAAAGTCTTCCCTGCAGTTTCATTTATATCCAAAAGGGTTACCTGAACAGGTGAAGGCGAGCAGAGATAAACACCTGTGGCTTGCTACATTTGGAATTGTTTATAGTTTACAGATCAATTTTTTTTAATAGTTAATGTTCATTCAGCATTTGAAATTTCCACCCTGACCCACTGCAGCTTGGGGTTCAGATGGTTGCAGTACATTGGTTCAGTGTTTAATGATTGACCGAAGCACCGAGTTCTGAAAAATAACTCAGTGAAAAACAAACATTTGGCCTTTTTTTTTTTATAGCATATGTTCAGTTTCAGAGACTATGCAAACTGTATTAATAATTTTCTTTGAAGTTTCAAAATAAAAATAATCCTAAGGAGTGCAGTCAAATACTGTTCAACTTGGATATTACATTTTAAGTAGTTTTGTTAATTTTCCGTGCCACAAAAAGAAAACAAAACAATGTAGATAACCACAAAAGATATGTGAAACTTTGATATAATCTTTAACGGGATAAAATGCTAAACAGAAAACTGGTTAGCACTTATGTAAAATCATTTCTAGCTTCTTTTTTCCCCTCTACAAAGATATACAGGCGTCCAACTTTACCTTGGCACCATTTTGCAGAAGTATCTCAGTTATTGCTTTTCCTATCCCCAGCGCTGCTCCGGTCACTACTGCAGTTTTCCCATTTAATGCCATTTCTGCTCTTCAGTAAGATGACAGTCAGAGGTGTGCTGTGTGATATCCACATCTGAACAGAGACAAGTCAGTGTGCTTTTATATTAAACTTCTGCAGCCTGCTGGGAAAGCTGTTTAACCCTTTAAAGCTAGTCGGAGCAGGCATGCTCCGTTTTGCGTAACTATTTTTAAATCCCGGTAGAACTGCAACTTGAAATGCTCCCAAAAATGGTACTACATCATGTAAAAAATATAATATAAACTCTGGCGGAGTTGATTCTATGGTAGGTCTTAAAGGGTTAAACATCAATAAGGTAAATTCTAGGGCAGGGCTGGACCTGGACACAAAATCGGCCCTGGCATTTTTGGTCCAGGTGGCCCATCATGATTGCTTATGCACAGAGATGGGCAGTAACGCGTTGTTACTGTAATCCGATTACTTTTTTCAAGTAACGAGTAAAGTAAGGGATTACTATTGCAAAAACGGTAATTAGATTACCGTTACTTTCCCGTAGGAACGCTGCGTTACTGCG